TGCCAGGAAAACCAGACCTATGGTAAACCACCCTCCATACCCTGTGACTCTCACTTCTGCGCTGCTGCTAGCGCTGGCTTTAGAGCTAGGCACTCAGCCAGCAGCCTTCCTCTCTGATTGCCCAGCTCTGAAGGCAGCGCCCCTGCCAGCAGCAGGGCGGAAGTAGGGTGGCGATCCCATAACCCACCTACAATAGCCTTGTGACCCTTGCACCCTGACCGCCTTTTGGGACAGTACCCCCACAGTTACAAGCATGTAAAATTTCAGATGTAAACATGAAACAGTAATTTTACCCCCTGGCCGTGAAATTGACCAAAACAGACCATGAATTTGGTAGGGCCCTACTAATTAGATTGTACGCTCCTTGATTAAAAGGGCCGTATCTTTCTCTTTGTCTTCATATATAACACCAATATATTACTGGTGCTTAAATAATTAATATTTTGTATTTCTATAGCCAAGAATTTTGAAGTCTTTTACAAACGTTAAGTCTCAGCACCCATGTGAACTAAGGAAGTACCATTATCCCATTTTACAGAAGGGGAAACTGAGTCACAAAAATGATTTGACTTTCTCAAGGATACACTGTGAGTTTGTGGAAGACTATGAATAGAACACAGATCTCCTTACTTTCAGCGCTGTTTTTACATCAAAACCCATTTTTCCTTATAGTAGTTATTAGGGCTGTCAAGCGATTAAAAAAATTAATCGCAATTAATCACACTGTTAAACAATAATAGAATACCATTTATTTACATATTTTGGATGTTTTCTACATTTTTAAATATATTCATTTCAATTATAACAGAATACAAAGCGTACAGTGCTCACTTTATATTTATTTTTATTACAAATATTTGCACTGTAAAAAGCAAAGGAAATAGTATTTTTCAATTCACCTAATACAAGTGCTCTCATACAATCTCTTTACATTAAATTTGAACTTACAAATGTAGAATTATGTACAAAAAAACCACACACCTGCATTCAAAAATAAAACAATGCAAAACTTTAGAGCCTGCAAGTCCACTCCGTCCTATTTCTTGTTCAGCCAATCACTCAGACAAACAAACTTGTTTATATTTGCAGGAGATAAGGCTGCCCGCTTCTTGTTTACGTCACCTGAAAGTGAGAACAGATGTTCTCATGGCATTGTTATAGCCAGCATTGCAAGATATTTATGTGCCAGATGTGCTAAAGAGTCATATGTCCCTTCATGCTACAACCACTATTCCAGAGGACATGTGTCCATGCTGATGACGAGTTCTGCTTGATAACAATCCAAAACAGTGCGGACCGACACATGTTCATTTTCATCATCATGAGTCAGATGCCACCAGCAGAAGACTGATTTTCTTTTTTGGTGGTTTGGGTTCTGTAGTTTCCACATCAGAGTGTTGCTCTTTTAAGATTTCTGAAAGCATGCTCCACACCTCACCCCTCTCAGATTTTGGAAGGCACTTCAGATTCTTAAACCTTTGGTTGAGTGCTGTAGCTATTTTTAGAAATCTCACATTGGTACCTTCTTTGCATTTTGTCAAATCTGCTGTGAAAGTGTTCTTAAAATAAACAGCATGTGCTGAGTCATCATCCAAGACTACTATAACATGAAATATTTGGCAGAATGTGGGTAAAATAGAGCCAGAGACATATAATTCTCCACCAATGAGTTCAGTCACAAATTTAATTAACATATTATTTTCTTTAATGAGTGTCATCAGCATAGAAGCATAGTGTCCTCTGAAATAGTGGCCGAAGCAGGAAGGGCCATACTAATGTTTAGCAGATCTGGCAAGTAAATACCTTGCAATGTCCGCTAAAAAAGTCCCATGCGAACACCTGTTCTCACTTTCTGTTGACAATGTAAATAAGACGTGGGCAGCATTATCTCCCATAAATGTAAACAAACTTGTTTGTCTTAGCAATTTGCTGAACGAGAAGTAGAACTGAGTGGACTTGTAGGCTCTAAAGTTTTGCATTGTTTTGTTTTTGAGTGCAGTTATGTAACAAAAAAAAATCTACATTTGTAAGTCGCACTTTCACAATAAAGAGATTGCACTACAGTACTTGTGCGAGGTTAACTGAAAAATACTGTTTCTTTTATCATTTTTACAGTGAAAATATTTGTAATAAAAAATAATACAGAGTGAGCAGTGTACGTTTTGTATTCTATGTTGCAACTGAAATCAATATATTTGAAAATGTAGAAAAACATCCAAAAATATTTAATAAATTTCAATCGGTATTCTATTGTTTAACAATGCGATTAAAACTGAGATTAATCACAATTAATTTTTTTATCACTATTTTTGAGTTAATTGCATGAGTTAACTGCGATTAATTGATTGCCCTAGTAATTATAGTTACTAAGAAATATGCCATGCAACAACCATATATTGAATAGCTGTCACTATTCTGGTGAGTGTAAATGTGAAAGTACAGATTTTTAACAAATTCATGGAGGTGTTTTTAAGATAAAGGACTCGCGATACATTTATCGTGATTTTTGATACATCTTCTGCTCCTAGAATTCATAGGCCGTAGATATTTCAAAAGGCATCTATCACTGTGGTATCTGTTTCCTTTTAAAATCAAAGTTGTCTAGGTCCATTGTTGGAAAATGAGTCTTTGGAACTGAATCCTTTTTAAAAATTAAAACAGCAATATTAATGTTTTAATGTTGCCTTTGTGCACAAATGGGGTAACCTGTCTGTAAGTGTTTTAGTATACAGATTTGTATTACTCCAGGGGGAATGCTGTGCTAACTTGCTGACACAGTACATCGCACTGAACTGAGAGATAATTTTAACAAGTTATCCAAGTGTATGCATATGTGTTATATATTTTAACCACCTATTGTGTCAACTTGCATGTTTTCTCTAGAGTCTTTGTATTTTTAAAAACTATCATTTAATTTAAAAAGTATGTTAAATCACAGAGAACTGAGCTTCAATATTAAGCAATTTCACCTAAGGCAAGAAATTCAGAATCAGGCTGGGAACACTAGAATAATACGGGTTTCAGAGTAACAGCCGTGTTAGTCTGTATTCGCAAAAAGAAAAGGAGTACTTGTGGCACCTTAGAGACTAACCAATTTATTTGAGCATAAGCTTTCGTGAGTGAGCTGTAGCTCACGAAAGCTTATGCTCAAATAAATTGGTTAGTCTCTAAGGTGCCACAAGTACTCCTTTAGAATAATACGCTGTCCTTAACTTAGCCTGTGGTAAGTAGAATTATGTACAAAATGAGTAGAATTGCAATACATGTGATAACACACCACACTGTTCTGAGAACCATTATGCTCTGGTCACAAAGCATGGTAAAAAAAAAAAAAAAATCACTGAAATCAGAGCTGGAAGAGACCTAGTATGTTACCCAGTCCATCTCTTGGAGCCAGCACAGGCTTGTTCTCTACAGCATAATTTCCAGTGGTTTGTACATTTTCGTCCCAAAAGATGGAGATGCTGCACCTTTCCTTCAGAAGTCTGTTCCACAGATTCATTCACCTGACTGTCAGGAATTTTTTCTTGATATTCAAATACTGTTCCACTCTGAAAAGTGACTATTTAAAAAGGGCCCCAGCTTATTCCACAGATGTGCTCCCTGTGTATCAGGGTCACATTTCCCAACTTTAGTGACTAAAGTATGTTTTGACTGTTAGCCCTGCAGAGCTAGTAGAGTTTAGAGGGAGGGAGCTGGATTCTATTCCATCTTGTGCACAGTCAGTAGAATTGGCTACTCACAGTTCCAGGCAGTTACATCAGTGCATAAGAGGCAATGGGGCAGCACAGGAATTACTGAGGACCAATGTTGGACTTTAGAACCTTTATTACAGCTGATGATGTATGAAAAGGAAAGAGTCCACCATGACTCTCAAATCCCAAGGGTAGTTTGCAGCACTGGCAATTGAAAAAAAAAAAAAGCATCTTTTTACATATAAACTGAGCCCATATGACAGGAGAACCTGAAAGACAAACTTTTACAGAGTAACTTTTCAGAGTAGAAGTGCACTTTGACTGCTGAGCATTCTTGTGTACTTAGTTGTCTCACTCCCCTATTCCCAGTATAGTCCTACTACAGTATTTCCTTTATATTGAGATCTTTAAGCAGACCCAGGTTAAGTTACATTGGCCTACTCTTATTTCTTGCAGTCACCTTTTTCAGAGAAATTGTACTTTATTGTGATAGTGTCACTTAGGGTAATGAAGGATAGATCAGTGGCCTGGGAGGAAACTCAACTTTACTTCATTTATTTGCTTTCTAGGGTTTAGATCTGACCTTCACAATTCTCTCACCATATTTTTTGCAAGGAACAAGAAGAATGAGACAATCTGAAGACTCTCAGAAAGTTATTCAAAAGAGGCTGTGCTGTGAAGGGGAAATCTTTGCATTTTGACAGATACAATATTTTTATCTCCTGCTTTAGAAATGATAACAGAATAACCAGATTTTATTCAAGAAAAGTCTCATGAGTGGGGAGTGCAGAGGCAGTGTACTCAATCACACCAGGACACGAGAACCTCTTGTGATCAGTGCTCTGAACACGGTTCCCAGCTATCTGGGCGATCCGAGAAGTTCCTTCTCTTCCTCCTCTTGTTACAGAAACACCAGCAACTTACTGCTACTATGGTCTCTCTAAATAATAGGACCCATTCTCCCCTTCCCAGTTCCTCACTGGAATACAGATTTAATTCAGTCACACAAGATCTCAGACACTACACACTGAGAAAACATACTCATCTAAGCATGCCCAATGTATCCTAACATTCCAGTCAGTGACTGAATGTCACAGGAAATATCTGCAGTACTATAACACAGGCACAAGAAGGTAAAAGTGAAAGGTTGGGGAGTAAAAGAACATTGGCCTGTTTCACTGCACTGAACCATGACAAACAGTGTTCAAGAAATGAATGCTAAAGAAACAAAATCTGAAGCCGTTTCCAGTGTGGCTCATTCTACACATCTTTCCAAAAGCCAACCCTTCCCCAAGAATTACTTACGTCTGTGGAGCTGGGGCTAGGCAGGGACACAGGCTGAACAGATGCGGGGAAAGTAAATGTGGTCTCTGTCTTTTCATTTTCAGGGGAGTCAGGATGACTGGATAGAGGGGATGTGGGGGTCAGAGCCCCAAATCCCAGCACCGTGTTGTATTTAGGTGGACGACCTACACATTAACAAAAGGGAACAAAAAGAAGGGGGGGGGGAAATGATCTTACATACCTTTGGCCAGTGGTCCTCATTGGCTAGCATGAAAAAGGAAATGATGTAGCACAGAGAGGAAGTTAATATAGGAGTCACAAGTGGAAGAAGAGAAGCAAAGATTTTAACATTTTTTTTAGAAACGTACAAGTGGAATTTTTCAAGAAATGAATGCTTGAAGAAAAATGCATATCAGAGGAGTGTGAAAACAGGCTCTGCTAAGGGTCAAAGAGTCACGCTCCCAAGTACAGAGTGGGGCCTTTTTTCATTCCTAGCAATGAGACTGTCCAGGTATCAGGAAATCGTGCTGGCACCAAACCCACAGACAAGCTGCAATGATTTCTGTTAGTTCAATTTGTCTACTGTTATCCCACCTCTCCCTATCTATCCTATGCCAGCATATACCTACCCAAAAGTCCTTCTCTCAGAGCCAGCATTCACCATTTCAAGTCTCCTTTTCTTCCCTACATCTCCTATAGGTCAGCACCTCCCATCTCAGACCTATGCCCACTATCTCAACGGCAGATACTACTGTACTTCCCATGACCCCAAGCACCTTCCAAACTAACTCTACCAAGCTGAAGTTTCCCAATTCTTAGATTCTTTCCTAAGCTTCTATAGTCAAGCACCCACTGCCCCAATCATATATCTATTGTAGACTCCTTTAGAAAAGAACTAAGTGCAAAATCTGCTAAGAACAGCCTTCATAAAACTGAGATATTAGCTATGTACTGTATGATTATGTAAAACTGTATGTGCTTAGCACTCTCCCCATCTTTCCACATCCCAAGTTACTTTACGGATCTGGAAAGATCATAAGGAATAAAAATCTAGGAATAATTACCCAGCTCTTATCATTAGGGCCCTATCAAATTCATGGTCCATTTTGGTCATTTTCACAACCACAGTATTTTAAAATTATAAATTTCATTTCAGGTATTTAAACCTGAAATTTCATGGTGTTGTAATTGTAGGGGTCCTGACCCAGAAAGGAGGTTTTTTTGGGGGGAGGGTTGCAAGGTTATTGTGTGTGTGTGTGTGGGGTGGGGGTTGTGGTACTGCCACCCTTACTTCTGCGCTGCTGCCTGCAGAGCTGGGCCCTCAGCAGCTGCCACACTCTGGCCACCCAGCTCTGAAGGCAAAAGCACAGAAGTAAGGGTGGTATGGTACGGTATGGTATGGCCACCCTTACTTCTGCGCTGCTGCTAGTGGGGTGCCGCCTTCAGAGCTGGGCACCCAGCCACCAGCCGCCACTCACTGGCAACCCAGCTCTGAAGGCAGTGCAGAAGTAAAGGTGGCAATACCGCGCCCCCCCCTAAAATAATCTTGTGACCCTCCCTACAACTCCCTTTTGGGTCAGAACCTCCAATTTGAGAAATGCTGGTCTCCCCCATGAAATCTGTATAGTATAGGGTAAAAGCACACAAAAAGATTTCATAGTGGGAGACCAGATTTCATGGTCTGTGATGCATTTTTCATGACCATGAATTTTTTAGGGCCCTATTATAACAGTATTTACAGACTGCCAGGCTATACCCAGTACATGCTGCACCTTGCACTTGAGTTCTTGATACTTTCCAGAAAGATGTACATCCTTGGAAAGAATCTTTGATGGTGATGTCCACAGCTGAAATTTCTGACATGGCCTACAGCATCTAGAATTAAACCAAAGCCCTAAAGGGCACAGGGGTGCACAAACTAGCCTCTTAATATACTGCTATATTAATTCAAATAATAAAACTACTGTAGGCCCCAAATCTTGTCCATCCCATTTGAAAATATGTTACTAATCTGGTGCTGATGAGGGGTGTACACTCACAACAGAGAGTGAAAATAAGGACAGGAAGACAGCATTGTGCAAAAACAGTCTAAGAAAATACCATGTATACATATATGTAGCATTTAAAAATCTATAAGTAATTCTTCACACAATGTTATATAATGGATTTAAAGGTCATTGAAAACATTACTATATGAAGGAACATAGTCTTATGTACAGTGCACATATATTATTTCACACACACACACACTCACTCACTCGTTTTCTTGTCTTTCTTTTTTGAAAACATATTTAAAGTAATGGAAGGTGGCACTGGAAACTGATGTCCTTTATTTATTCAGAGACAGCATGCCAGCAGAAGTGCAAATTTATCTATACTGCCCCACCTATGTGCTTCCATCCTGCACTGAAGAGGCTGCCTCAAGGAGAGCAAGGGTCATTCGAATACCTGACCTCTTGGCCAAGAATACCAACTTTGGAAATGATCACTGCTACTTATTATCATGGTTTGTGTCATGTAGGCACCTGTTCAATATACACTGGACTGGGATCATCAGCTCATCTAGCCCACCAAACAGCCACCAAAGAATTAAAGATTTTCAGTCACTACTATCCTCGGACAGATTCAGATCAATAACTTGGAGGTGAAATGTTACGTATTCCATAACTAATATCCTGAGCCATCTAGTCTGTTACACACACACACACACTCTACACTGCTTCATACACAGTCTCAGGTTCATCACCCCACATATAAAATACACAGACCTCTGACTTTAATCACAAACTATACAGCATTCTTGCTCTTTTCTTGGGTGGTCATGATGTTAGATTGCTTGGTCATTTGTTTTTGGACAGCAAACCAAAGAGCAGAGAAGCCGTGTTGGAAACTATTAAGAGCCATTAAAGGCGAGCATCAGAAGTTAGGGAAAGATTTTCTTTTCAGATCTGGTTGGCAGATCTCAGCTCTGATATTCAGCACCACACACATAAAGAGAACAAAAACAGTTAAGCTCCATTGTAATGTTCCAAGAGATAAATTTTATCCTTAAAAGTAAGAGTTTTAAAATGTGATCTGCTCTGCACAAGAACTGCTGCTCTGTAGGTGAATTCCACTAAATAACATTTAGTAGCTATAAGAAAGACCCTCCTTTTTCGCAGGACAGGTGGCATTTTAAGGTTCCAAGACGGTAGTTGTTTCTGAAGAGTGCCTAAGGTAAGTGGGTAGCTTTCCCCGTGAAAGTGAAAATGCTTTGGGGATCCTTCCCTTAGAAAAGCAACACACTGTGGGGAATGAGCTCTTCACACTCTGAATTTCCCTTCCTGTAAGATTAAATACACTTTCCCCATAATGTTCTGCTTTCCTGGCAGTAACACTGCAGTTTAGGCAGTATTAAGAGCACCTTGGCAGCAACTCTCTTCCATTAAATGGTGTTCCAACACCTTACCTTACACTCTGTTCTGTATACTGTCTCACTTCTGTAGAGTGAGACTGAAATGCTGCCTTGAACTGCTCCAAAAAGCCAGCTACACTAACCCCAGAAATGTTGGTACTTGTTTACCATTGGAATTTATTGTGCAAATTCAGTATCACAAAATCCTTCACTTTCACTTTCTTTCCATCCTCAAGGGGACTGCTGATGGCAGACAGAGAAATAATCATACAGCAAGATGGCATTGTTGAGAATAACTCACCTCTTTTACGTGTCCCAGGATGCATTGTGCTGTTCAGGTATGTGACTGCACTCTTCTTACGCTTTAAAGAGGAGGAAAACAACTTTAGCTGGCTAATTTTTTGTAATAATTAAATCTGTAAGAGCTCAGGCAGAGCAGTACAGTACAAACTGGGCTTAATGTCTGTCCTGTTCTTGGGAACGTATCTTTGGAAATGTTAGCCTTCCATTCTGCTTCTGACATCTGGACTACTGCAGGCCAGTGCACAAGCTGACCTCCTAATGGCAGGACCAATACTCACTGCCATTTAATGCCAGGTTTATAATGCGGGTGGTGTGGAGGGGGAGAGAAGTATTAAGCAGAAATAACTGTATTTACTATATAAAACCCTGAAGGCCACATCACTACATTGGTCTCTCAAACTATAATGACAGCCTGTTTAGCTGGGCTTCGGAGATCTTAGTAGGTAGCAACATGGCAGCAGTACAGAATGAAATTGCCAGCTTCCCCCCCAGTAAGAGACTGATACCTCAGGCTCAAAAACGGCTCCACTGTACACTGGATTTGCTGTTGTTCTTCTTTTCCTCTCTTGTCTCTTACTTTGGATTTCTTGTGAAAAGAAAGGTTCAGGTTAGAAACCATGGATTCAGAAAGCATATAACAATGTCTGCGTTATATAGTCTGCAAGCAAGTTCTAACTGTGAGGCTTTCCATGGGAAGCCAACAAAGCTGAAGACAGCCATCTCTACTACACTCCTGGGTTTGAAAACGAATACATAATGATAAAAACAAATACACTGCCAGTTTGGTTTATGAAATGGTTGGCTGCCCCTCCCAAATGAGAGCATCTGAACACAAATATTTTATAGTGAAGTTCAACATAATTGGGAACCTAAATACAGTAGCATGGGAGGAAACCTCATTGCTATTTAAGGCAAATATAGTTAGGCTTTGAAGGATTCGATTTTTAATCAGTAAATGTCAAAAACATCTATACACACACACAAATTGACAAAAAGGAAATTTCCATTGATAATCAAAATTTATAGATAGCCAAAGTAAGAAAAATGCTGCTTGAAAACAGAGTTTGACTAAAGGATATTGACTTTGTATACTTTGATGTGATGTTGAGAATTTGTGTTTTAATGGTTATAAAGCTTTAAATTTTTGAATCTCAACTTCTACTGTCATTAAATACTAGCTGTCTGACCCACAATTTTCCACAATTGTGAAAATTCAAATAGATAAAAATGGAAAAAAATTGCTTAGAACCTTTGTGCAACTATGAAAATATAAATAAATAAAAATAGAAAAAAATGCTTTAAAATAAGCATTTATATTATTTGTTGAAATTATAAAAATAAAAATTGATTTCTGCTGAGCCTAAATTTAGTACAGTGATGTGCAAGTCCTTGAATTTCTGCAGATTTAGGCTTGATTTCATTGTAGGTGAGGACTAAAGAAATTATCAGAACTACTGAAATCCAGTAACCCAGCATGTTCACCAATTTACAGAATTGAGAAATCCAGAGAAGGGGTTAAGGTACACTGACCTATTAGGTAACTTCTTCACACATAAGGGCTACACAACAGTCAATTAGTTTTTTCATAGTTTCCTCTCAGACAGCAGAGCATGCACTGCCTCCCCAACCATTGATCTCAGATAACTAAGCAATTGCTTTGTTTCCATGTAACAAGGGAAAAGGAGCTGAGGGGGCAGGGATAAGTTGCACCCAGTGCTATATGAGCATAGCCCAAATGTGATCTTTTCCTTGGTGCAAGGGAAAAAAAAAGAGTGCACTTCACACAAGAACATTTGGGACTTTTACTTCCAATCTAGAATTGCTGAGAAACAGGAGAGCTCAGGAACCATTCTCAGTTACTTTTCTTACCTTCCAGATGGTCATGTGTAACCAGTCCCAAAGATACCATGAAGGCAAGTTTCTGTGTCAGAGAGAGAGAACAGAGTTCATTCTAGTTACAGTCATTATCAGGAGCAATTTCATTTAGCCCAAAGTCAGTTGGTAGCCAACCAAGTAAGGAAAATATTACTAATTCTTTGTTCTTATATAGCACTTTTCATCTGTAGATCTCAAATTGCTTTCCAAAGGAGAGACACTAGACCTATTTTACAGATGTGGAGAAAAAGTCAGAGACAGGGAGAAGCAACTTCCACAATGTCATACAAGAAGTCACTGGCAGACTGAACAGACTCAAGGTCTCAACTCCCAAACCATCACTGGCCCTTAGTAGATACCAGCACAATTCAATTGCCAACTAAACATTGCTGGTTACAGAGCAACAAAATCCTCACTGCTTGATTCCCAAAGTATTTAACATTGTGAGCCACCAGGTAGGGGCTCTGGAAACCACTGGTACTCTGAGGACCACAGTTCAAGAACTACTACTCTAACACCACCAAAAGAAGGTTTCAACAACTCTGCCAATTTTGGCAGTCAGAATCAATTCAAACAGTTGGTACAATAAGGTGGCAAAGATAACCCAATAAATTTGGGGCTATTCCTTGGATCCTCAGCTGTACTTAGATCTATAGGGTCAGCCCTCACTGAGAAAGGTAGAGCTTCTCCTTGAGCATCTCATAGGGCCTCTTTTTGTACCAACCTGCCTTTGGATCTGAGCCCTGTCCAGGAGCTTGAGTTGAAACTAGGTGAACGATAGTGAAAAGGATAGCAACGGACCTCTGTCCTTGATCTTACTTAGTTTCCAGGCCCTCTCAAGGTGTGTGGTCTGGTGGATCTGGACTTCAGCTTGTCCCATGGGAGAAAAGAAGGACTGAGTACCAATTCAGAAGCAGCTGAAAGGTGCTGTTTGAGAGGCCTTTAGTGCCTTTTCTATGAGGAAAGACTGGAGAAAGAATTCAGTCTTATGAGCACAGGAGAGAGGAAGGGGTGCAAAATAATACAGAAATTGACCACCACCATGACAAGTGACTCACCCCAAGGAACCTCAGACACCAGGAGTTAGGATTGACAACATCTTTCCACAGCAAGATGAGCACCATTTGAACCCGTTTTATCTTTTTGTTTTGAAGTTTTGGCCATGTCTTTGTTATAGCAATGGACTTAACATGGCACTGATAGAACAGGAAATAATAGGTCCAGTAATAATGCCCCATGATACAATGCTACATATTTCAACTAGTAATAGATTCACTCGTAAATCGCTTTTCAAGATTAACCAGAAAGATTGTTTAGAAAGAATTTGGCTAAGAGGGCAAAAACAACAAATGATGGAGCAAAGAATGGGAAGGACACAGATTAACAATCACACTGCTATTGCAGTTGAAAGGAATCGACAACATTCAGAGCCATGGCTCCTATTATCACTTCAGTTCTAAACATGCAGTTCTCTAACAATCACAGCTTTTTAGAGGGTCCGTATTATGGTGCAGTTGCACCCAAGAATAGAAATCTGTACTGGCAATACTCAAAGATGAAACCGATGGCCACTATGAATCTAGCTACACTACAAAATACAGATGAGTTAGGGAACGTGGTTGCAACATGATTAGATACCCACTACACAACACATTTTAATTGTAACCAGGCCCGATGTTTCGTAGTGTAGACAGGAACTAAGAAATGCCCATTCAGAAAAAGGGATCAGACCATCTGGACTTAAGTTGGGATAGGTTTATAACCTGTCTGTCTTACGATCAAAAGAAGTACCAACAGCAGAGGCTCTATGGCAAAAACGTTCCTTTCTTTCCTGTTTACTAGAATAAAGTTGTCAAGACGGTAAAAGCTTTTCAAGCAAGATAAAGATAACTCTCTAGTCTAGGGAATGATTCTACAAGTCTGAGATCTCAAAGGTATGGAAATCAAAAGATGTACTGTATGCTGGGTGAGCTGTTTGAAGGGTATTCGGAACATTTAGGAGTAAAAAGCTCAAGAGTCCACAATTCTGCCAGTTCTGAACAATTTTATGCGCTATTTACATTTAGATTTATTATTCCCCATCCTTATTTCTCAGTCCTCTCCAGCAAGAACACTGAAAGGAAAGCAAATGAGTCTTCAAAAGGGAACAGGGAAAAAAAAAGATTGTGTGTGAGAAAGAGTGTGTCTGTGTAGGGTGAGGGGGAAATGAGGAAACAAATAGATATGCTATATTCCATCCTGGTTTATGGCGTTTTTTGAAAGATAGAATGCCTCCTTTTTCTCCTAGGGAGAGAACACCGAATTTGCTCTGATACCTGTGGATTTTCTTCTCGTTTTGGCTTGGGTGCAGCTGGTGGAGTAATGGTACGACTCTCTGTTTGCTTCTCCTCTGCTTCCACATGGGGTTTAATAGTCTGAAAAGAAACAAGTACAACTCAGTACTAAGAGCATTTTTTAGTTAGAGAAAAACTAAGTGAAATGAGTAATTTCAGTTTAGTAGTAGAACGGAAAAACAGTTGTAGAACAAACTGGCAGTGCCCCAAAAAGAGATTTGCTCCAGGAATGTGAGGGAAGTTTAAATAATGTGTCCTGCTTTGGCAAAGAAACAGAACAGGCCCAAACCCAAGAACGTGCAGCATCACAGCAACTCAGGCAACCCAATCAAGCAACCACACAAGTGATAAAGGTCATGCTGCAGTTAACATTTTTGGTAGAAATATTTATAAAGCTGCATGAGAAGTGGATTGATTACAGACCAGCTGAAGCCTTATGGAAAATCATTCTATGAAAAGCCCCTGTTCAGAACCCATTCTGAATGGTATATACATTCTCCATTTCTTTCCCTTCATTTGTCATTATGAGTAACATTTGCCTGAAAACTGGCACTGTGACTCCTAAGAGCTCAGATATTCCTGTGGCTTATTTCCTCCCTGAAGTCAGAATCCTTGGCTCTCAACATCACAATTACCAGCATGGTGACCCTCAGTTTGTGGCACGGCTGTGATGTCACAAACTCAAGAGTGAGGAGATGAATGAAGTCTTTAAACCATGATTTGAGGACTTCAATAGCTCAGACACAGGTGAGAAGTTCATCGCAGGAGCGGGTAGGTGAGATTCTGTGGCCTGCATTGTGCAGGTCAGACTAGATGATCATAATGGTCCCTTCTGACCTTAATATCTATGAATCTATGAATGCTGAAGAGAGACAAATTTTGTTTTGTGTAAATATCCTTAATCATAAAGATTAAGAAAATCATACCAAAAGACTGTACACAGATAATTAAATCATCGTTACTTGTCTCAGAATGTTTTTCAAAGTTTTCCTGACTGTCAGCAGTTCTTAAATAATAAACAAATGGTGTTGACATCAAAGAAATATCAGCATCAAAGATGCAACATTGTGGACGTGCAGCACAGGGATTCATCTAGCTCATAGGTAACAGGCATGCACTGTTGCAGAGCACAGTTTGTAAATCTGCCTTAAAAGATATGCAACAACCTACCCCTGTGAATTTAGTGAAGTGATAGTGCATCTTTTATGCACAAAATTGTCCATAGTGGACAACTCCAAGGTACATTAATCGACAAGGAAGTGTCTGTAGTGAAACCAAAGATTTCACATGAACTGAATTGGAAAAGTCTACAGTTATGACCCAATTATATCATTTTATTTGAAGTTGCGTATTATTTTTTAGGACTTCTTCCCCATTTGCTCTTTCCTGAAGTGAGATTTAATAACTAAATATCTAGAAACTCTATTTTTGAGGCATTTCTTCCATCCATTCAAGCTCAGGTCACTCATGGGAGTCTTAAACAACCTCAAGAAGCTAAATGGCCATTCTGTTTCCCTGCAATTTAAAGGGGGATTCAGAGGAGAACACAAATCAACAGGCTCCAGCATCAAAGCAAATGCGGCCGGATTCTCTTACTAAACAGGCCTTGTTAAATATTTTGAATAGTTATTATTCCTCTACTCCCCATTGTTTATAATTTAAAGAAGTTTAGAAATAAACAAATATTTTGTTCCTGTGTTTCTAAAGGACCGGACATGAACATGGCTTTTGGTTTACTGTGACCTAATATTGTCTGTGTGTCAGCATCATCAGAGATATCAGCACACCTCAGATGAACATTTGCTGCTGATCCAGTAGGGGGAGCACCAAATTACTAAAGAACAGTAATGATTCCGACGGACCTTTGAAAGAACACCAACCTTTCTGTCCTATGAACTGGAGCTGTCTCTTTTAATACGGTCTCCAAAGTCATTATATTATTAATATTAGGTCACTATAAGTGGGACTCTGATATTTCATTCTCCCTTGAAAATTCCCCCCACGGTTGTTATTCCTCTCCATCTTGGCAGCATTAACCCACAAAAGTAGAACTGAAGCATTTAGTCGACGCATTGCCCAACTGTACCTGTTTTTCAAGGTTTGGTTTGCTGATCTGTAGAGTCTGAGGTCCAGCGAGCCTGGTACCTGGGGCTGCTATCACAATGCTGGTGAGCTGTGCCATAGGGAAAGTTTTGGCTATGGTTGCTGTCTGCCCATTAACAACACGAACTGGGTGTATGGAGTTCTGTGAGGTGGGTAAAGAGCTGGGTGTGAACTTTGTTGTCAGCATCACAGGCCTTTGAATAAGCTGAGGAGCTGCAAGCATCGGAGGTGGTGCTGGGGCAATAGGAATGTTATTCTGGGCAACTGGTTTGGGTCGAACCTACAAGGAAAAAAACCCAGACACATAGAAATATATTTAAAATGAATTTATTGAATATATTTCTCTGTTTTAAATCTTTTGATTCAGCTTGTCTAAATTCTGCAGAACTATCTATCATTTCTTACAGAACACATTTTTATAATAGTGTCATAAATGTGCAATGACAATAAAGAACCACATTTTCAATCTGCTTGCATAAAACCCATCCATAACACTTGCACACACTGCACACATTTGCATGCCCAAATACTTATTTGCATGTTTAACTGTTTTGTATGTACAAATCTACTTTTTGGTTTTGTGAGGACAACAGATGCCCATGCAATATTTGCAGGAGCAACTTAGGCAATCGATTTTGAAAGTATGTTTCAAAAGCTTTACACAGCTTTCAATATTGTAGCACTTTTTACATTGGCCAAGAGATCAATATCTAAACAGCTGACCCAAGAGCTAAAAGAAAGTCTTCAGAGATGTCCAATAAGTCACCATGGCCTATGTTGACTTCATGCATTATGCAGATACATTGTGCAACCTTTTACACCAGGAAACTGGTTCTGCTAAACTATGAACAAACTGTCCCCTCATTGAAAATATCAAAGCCTCTACTGGTAAATACAGCCATATTGCCACTTGCTCTTTCCTTTCTCTGATGCTATGATAAAGCATAATATTTGAGAAGATATCCATAGGTATGAAGCCAGGAAACATCTCTACAAAATTCAGGGGATCCAACATATTTTCTGGGCCTGTACCATCATTATCTTTAGCTATACATACCTGGCATATTCCCCATTATACAAATATCTCATAGTTACAGAAAACAAAAGTAGAAACAAAATCCATTAGGTCATCTAATCTATCTCCCTACCGATAAAAGATTGTTTCCCATCATATATTTTCTGGTATCTTATCCATTTTACCTTTAATGTCTCAAATTACAGGGTGTAGCCTTCATTTATGCCTGGAAACTATGTCACAGATTAACAGATTTTACTGTCCCAATGTCTTGTTCTGATCATCAGCCTAAATTTTTCCTTTCTTAATTTCATCCCAGTACTCCCAGTTATACCCCCTTGCTCCTTCTCTAAGAAGCTTCATCAAAAAATGCAAAGAAGCAACCAGCGTCTTTTCTAAAAACAGTGCAAAGTAAAACAATGTAAAGCTGTATTGCTTAGCTGCAAATGGTATAAAGAATGGAAGCTGCAGAAAAGACTTCAGCTATTTCTCTTCTCCTGCTCTTGAATACTGAGCAATGATGATTGCAGAGATTTTGCAGCCTTCGGTGACAGTCTGATTCTGCTCCTACACTTTCAGTAGTTTCATTTCACACATCTTGAAGGTAAGAAATGAAAAGAAAACATCCCTTATTTACTTATGGCCAACTTCCCTCCTATCTTTCTTGTTCTTGGTACACTCACCTGTGGAAGAAAATTTGGACGAGGAGTGAGTCTGGGAGGAGGGATGAACTGTGGCACTTTGATGGGCTGAGGTGTAGCCTGAACCTGCTATACAAACATTAGAGAGAGTTCAACAAGAGGAAAATAGCTTTGAAGGAATTCATCAAAACCAAGCACACTGATAGTATTTTCAGTCCTGATGCTCCTCAGTTTAGGCTGGTTTCCCCCACTGTAAATAAATTCCCACAGCAACAGTTTCTGTTTTAGAATTACATTAAAGAAAGAGCTGGCCTTACACTTTGGTTCCTGAACATCCTGTATTGCAAATTGAAGCTAACCATCCCTTTGTTTCATCTAAAAGTATGTAATACTAGGCTCTGCCTCTAAAACATTTCATTTGAAGGTAATGAACTTTCACAATTGTTTTACAAGTCAAAACTGCCTTCACAAAAGATAGAAAGTAAAACCAGATTTGGCTACCCCACCAGATAGACCTTCACATGGTAAAAGCACTTCTGTCTTCTCATGTGGAATGATATGCAATGTCTCTAGTAGTTAGAACAAGGTCTGGGAGCCAGAACCCATCTTCTATTTCTAGCATTGTAAATGACACAGTACTTGACCCTGAATTAATAACTTTGGCCTGAATTTTCAAAAGTGGCTTTTAATTTTGAATATACAGCTTGAGGCACCTCAGCTGTGATTTTTAGAGGGGCTAAGCTAAGCACTTCCAACTCTAACTGAAATCAGTGGAAGCTACTGTGGCCCAACACTCTGAAGATCCTAGTTATCTTCAGTGGAGCACCCAAAATTGAGACACGCAAATTTAGTTTACACTTGAAAATGTTGGCTCTTTCTTCTCTGTAGCTCTGTTCAACGATGTAAAATAGCAATACTAATACTTCACCAGCGTGCTGTAAGTCTTAATTATATGGGAAAATGTTTTGAGATCCTTGATAGAAACACTATAGAAACACATACAATTAGTAAACCTACGAGTCTTTCATGGAGGTCACGGAAGTCACAGATTCTGTTACTTTCTGGGACATCTGTGACTTCGGCAGTGGGTGGGGCGGCTGACCCCAGGGCCACCTGAGCAGCTGGGATGGCCCCAGGGCCACCCGCATTGGCTGATGCTCCGGTGGCCCTGGGGCAGGCCACCCTGGCAGCTGCTACTGTGGTTCCAGGCAGCTGGTCCCAGGCGCTGCCCTGGAGCAGCAGTCTGGGAGCAGCAGCAGTGCCCTGGGCCACCCCCCAGCAGCAGCACCAGTGCTCCAGGCCACCCCCGCCCTGAGCAACAGCAGCAGTGGGGCCTCAAGCCGCCACCACCGCCACCCCCCTTCCCCCAGAGGTGCGGCGGTGGGATCCTAGGCTGCCCCCGACCCGGAGCAGCAGTGGTGTGGCCATGGGCCATCCCCTGCCCAGAGAAGCAATGGGGGTGGCGGCAGTGGGACTCAGGGCTGCACTTCCCCCACCCCAGGTGCTGCAGCGACCGCCAGAGCATGTTCCCCCCAGAGCGGCAGCATCCACTGGAGCGCCGTCCATCCCCCAGCACCTAAGATTTAGTTAGGAGTATTTTTAGTAAAAGTCATGGACAGGTCACTGGCAGTGACTTCTTGTTTATTGCCCGTGACCTGTCCGTGACTTTTACTAAAAATACCCATGACTAAATTGTAGCCTTAATCATTAGTGATAATTAAAAGAAGGGTCAACTCTGTGGACCAGGTAAGTTATTCAGCAAGGACTAAGCCTGAGCAGATATTTATCAATCCTTCTGGGAGATAATCACAACAGTGGGGATGGTGGAAAAAGACTCCACCTAAAGAGGTTTCTCCACCACAAATACAACTATCTGCCTCATTCAGAAGCAAAACACTGGCTATTTACATCCATCAAAGCTGTATTATTTTATAAAGGAAAATTTACGATATAAATTGGCCTGACTGTTGATGAAGCCCTGGATCAGCCTTTAGCCACAAAGTAAAACTTCCCTGTAATGGCTCTGTTCAATTGCCTGGTCTCTAGTCGCAGAAACCCAAATGCCCACATTGCTATTGTTTACATTTTTAAACAAAATTCTGTGCAGCTGATCAGTTACACAGGAGCTGCTAAGCACTCTCTGAAAGCCTGATATAATCAAAAGTGAGACACTTTCCAAAATGTGGGCTTATGATGGCTGGATCCTGGTAAGAGGATGTGGTAAATGAAGACCTGATAGGATGGGAGGTGTATCCTAACCCTATGTAAATTCAGTGAGCGAAGAAAACAAGAGAAGTTTGACACATTAGATAAGATGAGGATCTATACCAACCAAATAAATAAAGTTCACAAAGCTTCCAAAACCAGAACTACAGAACAATATTTTTTCACAACAGAGCTCTGCAGATGAGGTAACAAGAACTTCATACTAGTAACAGTATCTTTCCAAAGACCCAGCTTCTAGGGCAAGCTTTACACAGAGTGACTACAATAATGACTTAATTCAATAAAAATATTAACATACATAAATAATAAATATTTTTCCCTTAGGCTCTCAAAGCATTTCAACTAATTAAACCTCACAATATCAATGAGGTACTGCATGTTCCTATGTGTAAGAGTTCATTTTTCCTTCTGTGGGGCAAAACCAGCCTGTTTATAAGTAGTATTTTAAGTAGTCCCCCTTGGTAAATACACACAGCTCAACAGGTGCACACAGTCCCACATTCACACACACACAGACTATTTCTTCTGGCTTACCAAAGTAACTGTGTTTTTTGCCACTATTTGGACTGCCTCTGCTCCTGGACCAGTAACTTTATTTGTTGTCTGGAGGTTGACTGGTGTATTCTGTGCATCGGTGCTGAGGACCGCTTTCTGACTGTTGATTGCAGTAACCATGGCAATGGTAGGTCTTTGACCCACAACAGAGGCAGGCATGGTTGCAGTTGCTGCTTTCAAGACGAGAGGTAGTGTCTTAGTGGTGATCATAGGAGTTGTAGTCACAGTTTTCTAAGGGAAACAGAAAACACAGCTTAAGTGTCTAGAACATTACATATTGGACAGGATGTTGCTTATACTTGAGCTCAATCAGTCAGAAATTATAGGTAAAAATGGGAGAAAAAACAGCATTGATTCTGTCTGCTCTGTATATACACACACTTTACCCTATGCCTACAAAAACTGGAGAAATGGAAAAAATTCTTAATCTGACAAAGTCCTGAGATAAATCTTTACTAAAACTTGCAATCATACAGAAAGTATTGTGAACAATGCAAATATAGTATGCATGTACAATGGGAAAACACATTGTGAGATTAATCAGGTGTTAGTAGAGGCATAGCACCTACTTCTCTTAGATTTTTTAGCTTTGTATTATTGCCACATGAATATTGTCATGAGTGTCAGTTTCAGTTTCAACCCTTTAAATGTGAAAATTTATGGAGCACATCTAGTAAAGATACAGTCCCAGCATCTCTCTCATCAGCAGAGATCCAAACCTTTAGAGGAAAGTTTTCTATTTTTCAGATAATTTAGTTATCCAAAATGATCATTTTATTAGAGGAAGGAGGAGGAAACATTTCAACATTGACATCTTTAAGGACAAAGCTAGACCTCAATTTTGGATATCCATTTTTTTGTTTTTAGTTATATGTACAGTAATTTAGCAATCTGGAGTCTTCCCTTTCCTGAGAAGAGCAGGAGGCCAACTAGCTAACTGCGGCTACAGAAGGAAACTAGAAAAATAATAAGCTTGGTGGAAAAATCCTCCATCACTATTTCTGTGTTACAAGGAAACTGATATAGGAGGCAGCCAGTTTTTAGTTTCAGCCTCAGGCTGGATATATCCTAGAGTTTTAAGTGTTGACTTTTAGTTTGTCCAACAGGCAGTAACCAATTAAATTTCAGTTGTTCATACTGGAATTTTCCTTGTCCTACGTTGCTGTACAATGTGATTTCTCTTGGCCTGACCTGAAGACAGCAATTTTGGAGCCTCTAGTCCCAGCACAAATATGAAATGCCTAAATCTACTACAGCTGCAAATATCAATTCTCAAGATTAATAGGTTAAGGCCCAGATTTTTAAATATATATAGGTATTGCTGTGCTTACAGCTGTAACACCTAACTGGTTTAGGAACCTACATCTCATTTTCAAAAGTAATTTAGGCAATTTATCTACAACCCATTGACGTTAAATAGGAGTTTGTCTCCTAAGTGCCTAAATCCCATTAGAAAATGAGATTTAGGCTTCTAAATCAGTTAGGCTTTGCAACACTGAGCAAAGCAATGCTTAAGTACCTTTAAAAATCTGGGCTAAAGAGACTACCCCTGCAATATTTTCCTTTAAATTTTACTGTTTACTGAAATGTTTGTTAAGGAGAGATGGGAAAGGAGAAATAATCACACAGAAGAGAACAAGGCAACTATTTCCACATGATGCCAGATCAAAATATACATTTTTTAAAAAATGAAGACAAATGGCAGCTAAAGGAACTGGTGAATGAACTTGCTTTCTTTTTCATCAGATCTACTATACTGATGTCACTGCATCTTTCCAGACTTCTTGGTGGAATGATCAGATGTTCCCAGTACAAAATGAGAACCATGGCCTGCATCTCTCTGATGCAAGTGCTACTATGCCCTAGAACAGAAGAAATGTTGGGCCAGGTATCAGGTGACACTTTTTTCTGGTGCTAACATGCCTGCTTTATGTCAGCTTATTTTAATTTCACCATTCTTTCCCCTCCTTAAAAAATAAATCCATGTGTAATTTCAATTGTTTTCCAAGGTAACTTTTTCAGTATATTTATTACATTATTTGGGAATTTATTTTGCCTTAATTACCAGTATTCTTCCAATTCCTACTGTTTGGACGATATACTCTAGTTTTTGAACCCCTCACATGTGAACTATTTTCACGAGCAGTGAATTTGACCCTTTATAAATTTTATCAATCCCATTTATAACACTGTCTTCTGTATCACAAAAATAAGAATAACTCCCTTAACCTTTCTTTATATCTTCGATTCATGAGTTTCTTTATTGACCTCTGCTTTACTCTCTCCAGTACAAGCGACCTCCTTCCTGTTGTGGAGTGGCATTGAACAAAGTGTTCCAGTGAGATATAACAGTAAGAGGATCATTTTCATTAATACTACATTCACCCACATACATTTTAAAGAAAAATGTAATCAATCATGTAATACAAGACATGACTCTATCAAGGGCTTCTAGTGAGATCGTATATAACGAAAGCAAACCTCTAATCAGCAGAGCCCAGATAATGAATTTCCCTCTGTCACGTTGCTGCATGTTAATTATTTTTTGGCAGCTAAAGATGGAATATTTCTATGTGAATATTTCTATATTTCAGTTTATTTATTAATACTGATGTAACATCAGCAATAAGACCATAAAATTTCACATCCATAGCAATGTGATTTTTTAAAAACAGGTTTGCTGCTTTTTACAAATCATACGATATTGGATTATAGTAAAACGTTACCATTAGGGCAGTATATTTACCTCTAATCCTAACTTGAATTGCAATTGAACTTTCACCTAAAAAATTCATTCTGCTAAGTGCCTTGGAAGATATGTTAGTTACAAAACTTTAAAAAAAATCAGGAAACTTTAAAAAGAGGCAAATATTTTACTTTTCCTAGTAGGTACAGAGGCTTTTCTCTTTTAGGAGAGAAGGCACGTTTTGTTAGTCAGTAGAAACACGGCAGAGTGTGAATGGTAGTGAGCAGAGGTTCTCCAGATTTATATCAGTGTAACTGAGATTAGAATAGTTTTTAGGATGCAACACTGTTCATTCATTCTGTTCCAATGGCAGTGTCCCTTGCCCCTCAGCTTATTGATGTTGTCCAAGTGCCATTGTTCTTATTCATAGAATCCAACCCCAAAAGGGACCATTATAACCTCCTGTGCAACAAAGTCTCACTTCCTGTGCAACAAAGACCACAGAACTTCCCAAAGATAATTCCTAGAGCAGAGCTTCTAGAAAAAACATCCAATCTTGATTTAAAAATGGCCAATGATGGAACATTCACTACAACCCTTAGTAAATTGTTCCAGTGGTTAATTACCCTCACTGCTAAAAATGTACATCTTATTTCTAGTCTGAATTTGTCTAGCTTCAACTTCTAGCCATTGTATCAAGTTATAACTTTCTCTGCTGTCTTGAAGAGCCCACTATCAAATATTTGTTCTCCATGTAGGGCACTTAAGGACTGTGATCAAGACACCCCTTAACTTTCTTTGTTAAATTAAATAGATTGAGCTCCTTGAATCTATCGCTGTAAGGCAGGTTTTCTAATCCTTCAACCATTCGCTGGCTCTTCTCTAAACCCTCTCCAATTTATCAACATCCTTCTTGAATTCTGGACACTAGAACTGGGCACAGTAATCCAGCAGTGGTCACACCAACGCAAAATACAGAGGTAAAATAATGTCTCTGCTCCTACTTGAGATTCACCATGACAGATATGACAGTATCTTCCAATAACCTGGGAAAACTTTATTCAGGTCCCACGGAGGGACGGGGTCCCGGATGTGGGGTAGAGGCACTTCAGGCCCTTGAGGAACCTGACCTTCATGTCCTGAGTGAAAACCGACCTGCCCTGGAGTGGTGGATGGAAGGCTGAAATAGCAGCCAAGTGGACCTTAATGGACGAAAGAGACAGGCCGTGGAGATACAGAAGATAGTCTAGGATTGACTGCAGTGAGGCTTGCTCAGGCTGAATACTTTTATTCGAGGTCAAGCATGTGAACTGCTCCCATTTGGCCAGGTACAGGGCTTTCTGCTGCACAACACGACCTGTTGGACACCAGTCGAGCATCTTGCTCCTCCGCATTTAACCATGCAGCAGCCAAGCTGTCAGGTACAGAGCTGTGAGGTTTGGGTACAGATAACTGCCATGGTTCTGGGACAGCAGGTCCGGCTGGAGGAGCAGCAGCTATAATGCGGTAATGGACGCAAAAAAGTCCACTCGGGGAGTCCCCCATCTCTGGAAGGTGACGCTGACCACCTCCGAATGGAGCAAACCATTCGCATCCCTGGCCCCGGGGAGGTGTGCAGCTAAGGGGTGAATGGCATGCTGAACACAAAAGTTCCACAGCCTGAGAGCTTCTTGGCAAAGGACTGACGATCGGGATCCGCCTTGCTTGTCAATATCGAACATTGTGGCGGTGTTGTCTGTCAGGATCTGAACCAACCTGCCCTTTATATGAGGAAAGAAAGCTTGGCAGGCCAAGCAAACCACTCTGAGCTCTGACATTTATGTGTAGGAAGCAATTGTTACTCAACCAACAACCTTGCATGCTGAGATTTCCCATGTGGGCTCCCCACCCCAGACAGGGTGACAAGATGACAAGAACAAAATATCAGGACACATGGGGGGGCAGCCACAGGCTCAAGCCCGCCACCAGGGCTAGCTCTAGGTTTTTTGTTGCCCCAAGGGGAAAAAAAAAAAAAAAAAGCCAGAGTGCCGCCGAAGCAAAATATCAGGACAAATGGCGTCCCGACCGTACATTGGTCGGGACGTGGGACAAACAACTAAATATCGGGACGTCTGCTCACCCTAACCCCAGATCTGAGGCACTGTAGACTAGGGTAACCGACGGGGCCAGAGACGCAAAGGGGACTCCCTCCAACACTGATATGAGATTCAAACACCATGTGAGTGATGACAGTATGTGGCTCGGTACCTAGACTACAAGGTCTATGTTGTGTCTGTTGGGGATACAGACCAACCCTAGCTAAGCCTGTAGGGGCCTGAGGCGAATCCATGCGTAGCGGACCACGTAAGTACAGGCTGCCATGTGACCCAACAACCTGAGTGATGGTGAGAGGGTGGCCTCGCATGCATGAGATCAGGTCTGTGACGGCTCGGAATCGGGCTCCGGAGAGGAAGGCTCTGGACCAAGTAGAGCCGAGGACTGCTCCAATGAACTCTATACGCTGCACCAGAACTAAAGTTGATTTTTTTCTTGTTTATTAACGGACCTAGATCATGACAGGTGGAGTGAACCAGAATGAGGTGCAGCTGCACCTGATTCCAGGATTGGCCTTTGATGAACCAGTCATTGAGGTACAGATAAGTCTGAATACCCCAATGCCTTAGGTAAATGGCCACTGATGGCATGCATTTTGTAAACACTTTCGGGGCTGAAAAAAGACCAAAGGGTAGTGCTGTGAACTGAAAACAGCACTGGCCCAGCATAAAACGGAGGAACTTTCTGTGTCCTTGGAAGACGGAGATATGGAAATATGCATTCTTTAAGTTGAGGGCAGCATACCAGTCTCCCAGATACAGGGAGGGAATAATGGAGGCCAAGGAAACCATGTGGAACTTCAACTTTTTGAGATGCTTGTTGAGGTGTCGCAGGTCTAGGATGGGTCGCAGGCCCCCTTTTGCCTTCAGGATTAGGAAATAATGGAAGTATAACCCTTTTCCTCGCATTTCCCGAGGGACCTCCTCTACTGCCCCCATTTTGAGGAGGTGGTCTACCTCCTGGGAGAGGAGTTGCTCATGAGAAGGGTCCTTGAAGAGGAACGGGAAAGGGGGACGGAGGAAGGGGAGGCTAAGAACTGTAGGGTGTAGCCTGAAGATATTACGTTGAGCATGCAACGGTCCGAGGTTATTTGGGACCAGGTTGACTGGAAGGGCCGCAACGGTTGAGGAAAAAATAGGAGGGTGGATCTTGGAATATGACTGGGGTGCAATCCTTGAGCACACCCTCAGAATGCCTGTCTTTGGCTCCCATGGTGTCTTGAAGGGCTGGGCTAAGCAAGCGAAGGGGAGGATGAGGGGCATTGTCATTTAAACCCCTTGTCTCTGTCCTTTCTCCTATAAGTGCCCTTCTGGGGAGGCTCCCAGGACCTAGGAGGAGAAAGAGGAGAGAACTGCTTCCTAGCCTGCTGTGGAGCATGAAGGCCCAGGGAGTGGAGGGTGGCATGGGAGTTTAAGGTCATGCAGCCTTGCATCCATGAGCTCAGAGAAGAGCCCCTGCTCCCTCATACGGGAGGTCCTGGAGAGTGGGCTGCATCTCCTCGGATAAACCCAAGGATTGCAGCCAAGAGCTGCGCCTCATCACCACTGCAGAGGGAACAACCCTGGTCACCAAGCCCCTTGCGTCCTAGGCCATCTCGAGGGTGCCCCTCACCATTGATTTGCCCTCCTCCACTATTGTGGCCAACTCCTGGGTGTGGTCCTGTGGGAGGGCCTCCTCGAACTTGCCAAGGGAGTTCCACAGATTAAAACTGTACCTGCCCAACAGGGCCTGGTGGTTGGACACCTGAAATTGCAGACTGGCCGTCGAATAAATCTTTCTGTTAAAAAGGTCCAGTCTCTTGGAGTCTTTATTCTTAGGTGTGCTGCTCACCTGTCCCTGCCTGTCCCTCTTGTTGACTGTGGACACAACCAGAAACCCAGCAGGTGGGTGCATATAGAGATATTCACACCCCTCTGTGGGGACATAATACTTCTTTTCTGCCTTTTTGGAAGTGGGCAGAATGGAAGAGGTCTGCCACAACTCCTTAGTGATCCCGAGGACCCTTGGGTGGACTGGCAGCATGATGCGGGCCGAGGCAGTGGAAGATATGACATTGAAAAGGTCACCCACTTGCCGCCAACTCCTTAATTTTCAGGTTTAAGTTGTCACCCACTCTCTTAAGGAGAGCGTGGTGCTCTTTAAAGTCGTTGGGGGGAGACTATCAGTCTGGGAGGGCCCTGCCACCGCTTTATCCAGCAACAAAGACGATGAGAGCATTGCAGGTGGAGGGGTGGGTTCCCCTTTCCCTTCTGGGGATGGCTCCCTAGGCATTGGCACCTGTTGTGCTGTCCCCATGTCAGATTCTGCACTGTGCTCCGAACCCGGTGCTAGGTGTCGTTTGTCTGAGGCAGCTAGGGAGGAGTGGTGGGAGTATGCAACCGGCATCATTCGTATACCCCAAGGATTCCAATAAGGCCATTAAGCCGGCCACTGGCCCTGCTGCCATGCCGCCACCGCAGATGTCGTGCAGATCTCTGGTGCCGACTGAAAGCCATACTTCCTTGGTGAGGGACTGAATTCTGGCTCCGACTCGGACCAATCACCTTCCAGTGACCAAGGTGGGGCTCTGGAGGCCTGTGTCTGCTGGCTGACCCTTGCTGGAGACCGATGCTGAGAGGATGGGGATCGGCATCTGTCCATCGAGCGGTACTGGGACAGCGGAGACCAGTGCTGCGATGGTGAGCGGTCCTACACTGGTGGGGATCGATGCCTGGGAGATCATCTAGGTGATAGGGATCTGCGCCAGGGTGATCTCTGGTAAGAGGCTGGCCGATACTGAGAGAATGGAGATCAGTGCCTCGATTCCAGTGTTCCATGCCTTGTAAAAGGAGGGCATGGTGCTGGAGAACTGGGTCTTCTGGCTGGAGACCGAGGTTGCAGGGCTGGGGTCCTAGGTCATGGAGATGCTTTTCGGGCACCACCAAGGGGGAATGGTACCAGGCGGAGTGCTCCACACCAATGCTGCGGTGCTGGAAGCGGAATCCGATCGTGAGGCTTCCGACGCCGGACGAAGTGCAGCCTCCATGAGAAGGGCTTTCAAACGGATATTCCACTCCTCCTGGGTTTTGAGACAAAAGTTCTTGCAAATCCTACACTTGTTTTTTATATTGAATTCTCCCAAGCACTTCAAACAGCTGCTGTGGGGGTCACTAACAGACATTGGCCTGTTGCATGACGAACACGGTTTGAAGCCTGGGGAATGGGGCATGCCCTACTCTGGGGCAAAGTCCCAGCGAGGACTTCAGCAACTAAACTAACATTTAACTTAATGGCTAACTACTTAAGAACTATATACAAAGATGACAGACAATGGGCTATTAAGAACTGCTAACACTCTTGCAATGCAAGATAAGGTGCTCTGACCAACTATCAGGGATGGTAAGAAGGAACTGAGAGGGCACAGGGTCAGTAGTGCCTAATATACCGATGCATGAACATGGCACTCCAGTGTGCCACTGCCAACCCTATGGATACCGCTAAGGCAAAAATCTCCGACGACGGTGCACATGGGCATGCACACACCTAGAAAGGATCAACATGAGCAAGCACTCGAAGAAGAACTATTACTCTGATTCATCAAAACACTAAAGCATATACTTAACTTCAAGTACTTCAGTATTTTATTGAACTGGGACTTATGAGATCACAGAACACCTAGTTCTAAGTATAAGTTTTACATGAAGAGTAGACCTTGAAGGTTTAAAAAAAAGAATCGTATACTTCAGGGAACTCCAAGAGTGAATGCTACCATACTCCTATGTAAACATGACCTGCTCTACAGTGCATTGTGTTTTAACCTCTGCTCTTCTGTGCAACTGAACTAGAAAACTGTTCCACTGTATGGGGTGAGTCATACTGATATAATAGACCTTAACTGCTTCTTCAGACTCACTATGTATATAGATGCCTTATGGGCTACAATTCTTGCCCTTGCATACTAGAAGAAATACTGGTTAACATTTACTTTTTAGAAAGGTGGTACTTCCTCCATTCCTGAACTTGGAGGTTCTGAACCTGCTTTTAACAGAAATAACAAAAATCATAAACTGCAATTTATTTTGACTTTGGTTAGAAGTGACAGCAAAAGAAGGGACCAGGAACAGAACCCCACTTGTATGTGCACAAAGGGGCAAATCCATTTGCGCAGAGGGCCACCACAAGGCCTACACACCATTTAAGTCCCACTTGAACTCTGTTTCAAGGACTTAAATTAGCCTTTATGCTCATCCGTCTGCACAGAGATGAATTTCACCCTAAATAAACAACATGCCCTACATATCACAGAAAGGCTTCCAGTGTTTTTACCTGTGATCCAATCAGGTTTGGAGAGGGTGCAGTAGACTGCTGCTGCTGAAGTTGTTGTAGTGGTTGCTGTTGTGGATTTTGTAGTTTGTTTTCTGATTGTACCAATGGCTGTATTTGAAACTTATTATCTGGCTGTTCCTGCTTTACAATCAGATTCTTCCGCAGCTGTTCCACCACTCTCTTCTACCAGATGAACAGAAACACAAACAGAAATGGTTATAGAATTTAGTTGCATATATATATTAAATAAATAAATAAATACATAAGAGGATAATGTTTTAGGACCTTTTCTACTGGATTATGGAGGCAAAACGCAAAGGATTCATATTGTCACTTTGGTAAGAGAAATACGTCATATGTTTAGAAATAAAAGAAATCCTGACCCCACCACTGCCTAAAATAAATCCTTTTCTCCCACACGGCTTAAGAAGAAAGAGTAAAGTGTTTACTGAAAAAGTCTTGTTCAGAAGTTCCAGCAGGATTTCTTTTTTTAGGATTTGGGAACCAGCGTGGTCTAGTAGATGGAACACTGGATTGGGACTCATGAGACAGGGGTTTTATTCCCAACCCTACCATTCGCCTAATGGGTGACTTGCCTCCATGCTTTGGAACAGGGGCTTTAAGTTTAGCAGGGGTGTTGCCCTCGTGACAGAGATGGGCTTTTTGCTGTCCCTATGAAAACCACCAAAATTTGGCCAATTCATAAGCTTCTGAAAATCGCAGTTGGCACATGATCAATACAGACTTATTAAGAGTCTCAGAGTTGGCACTGATTGCTCCTCTGTCCCAGTCTCATCCTGCACTGAGAACTGGATGAGACATGGATCCCTCAGAAGAAGCAGGCAAGCCTTCTTAACTAGTCTGCTAGCTCCTGATTGGTCACTTTCTCCAGGCCCATCTCGGCCTCTGGAGGACTAAATCTTGTTGGTAGCCTGGTCTGAACAGGTTTACTTTTAGCTGGGAGTGTCAGGGCACTGACACTTCCAGCAGGGGTGCAGAGAAGGCCTGATAGACCCCACCACACACCTCCCCCTGCAGAACGAGCTTTAGGGCCCAATCTCCCACTTCTGCAATAAGCCCACTATCTTGGGGAAAGGAAACTGCACCTTGATGATGTGAACCCCTTTGGTTTTGCACATGAAAGGCACATTGTTGCAGCACCAAATACCACTGAGTAACACCAGGATTATTGTCCTTCATCGTCTGCAACCATTTAAATGATGCATGATCCATTATTAGGTCAAGGGGAACCCCTAAAAGATAATGTTGTTAAGGCCCTACAGCCAATCTGATGGCCAAGCACTCCTGCTTGATGGTGGAGTATCTAATCTCTCCTCACTGCAGTTTCCAATTTAGGTATAATACTGGATGTTCCACACCTTGAGAACTATATGAAAACACTGTTCCCAAAGCAACTGGGGAAGTTTGAATTTGCAGTAAAAACGAGCATGAGTAGTCCAGGCACTGAAGGAAGTTGACATAGGATAATGAGGTTACCTACCTGTAACTGAAGGTTCTTTGAGATGTGTGGTCCCTATCTGTATTCCACTGAGCATTATGCCCATGCACCATGCGCCCGGAGCCGGACCTTTTGAAAGTTGTACTGTTCAGCTGTCCGTGTATGCGCCATGGTCTTGCCTGAGGTGATAAAGGGATGGTTGGGCCACCGGCGTCTCCAGTTCCTTCTCTACCACAGAGCTGTTGAATCCGCAGCAGAGGGAAGGAGGAAGATAGGTTTGCAGTACAAATAGGGACCACACATCTCAAAGAACCTCCAGTTATGGGTAAGTAATCTCGTTTTCTTCTTCAAGCCATGGTCCCTATGGTATTCCACTGAGGGTGAGTAACAAATAACCAAGAGTCCATTGCAGAATCATGCACTAGAGTGTAGTGTGTGGAAAAGGTGTGTACTGAACTCCATGTGGCTGCCTTGCATATATCTGTGAAGGGCACATTGTGGAGTGCGGCTGTAGTTGATGCTTGTGATCTCATGGAATGGGCCCGAATCCCTCGAGGTGGGGATCATCCTGATAACTGATAGCAGTGCATAATGCACCCCGAGACCCACTTGGAGATTCTCTGGGTGGAAATGACTTGCCCTTTCATTCTCTCCACCATGGCAATGAAAAACCCAGGGGATTTCCTATACAGCTTTGTCTGCTCAAGGTAAAAAGCCAATGCCCTTCGAATGAGTGAAGCCTTCTTTTCTCATTTGAGGCTTTTGTAAGAAGGTAGGTAATTGAGGTGGAATTGGGAAGCCACCCTGGGTAGGAACTTGGGGTGAAGGCATAAAGAGATCTTGTCTTTATGGAAAGTAGTAAAGGAGGGGTTAGCCATCATGGCTCCCAGTTTGCCAATCAGCCTAGCCATAACCCATGGACGGTGCAGAGTACTTCTGAGACTTGGAGGAAGACTTACTGCCATGGTTATGTGCATCCTTCCTTGGTTCATGGCTAAGCCCCAGTGTGGGGTTCTTAGCACTGGTACCAACGGAGCCTGATGCAGGTTCTGCGGCAGAAGGGGCATGCTTCGCCTATTCAGGCTGATGTACTGGGGGGGCAAGGGGAGGGGGTTCCCCATCCAAGATCTAATACTGCTCCCCTGGCAGCCTCCATAAGGTCTTTCCTAAAACAGAGACTCTGGTTCTCCCAAGTATGGGCAGGAGAGGCACATACTTCACCTGGACGCAATATGGGCTTCCCCTAAGCAGTACAAACAGCGGTGGTGCTCGTTGGTGATGGAAAACTAGTGAGGGCAGGAAGGACAGGTTTTGAAACCCAGCGTCTTCAGCATAATCCAGTACCCAGCCCCACATTACGGAGGTGGAAGCGGGGGCGGGGGTGTAAAGTTGGGGGAAACACTGTCGAAGTGGCGTCCCAATTTCTAAATCAGGTATGAAAGAAAGAATCGAAGAAAAACCAAAAAATAAATGCAGGAACAGATAAGAAATTTAAACTACAAACAACACTAACGATAGTTTTGAAAGTTTTGGAAAGTTCATCACGAGGATGATAGGAGTAGAAGCTCCGACTTGGATCATGTGGCCTTGAGAAGGAACTGGAGACGCTGGCAGCCTGTCGCACCGTTTATCACCTCTGGTGAGACGAGGCAGAATAGGGCACATGCTTAGACCACAGAACAGTACTACTTTCAAAAGCTTTGGCTCCAGGCATATGGTGCATGTGCTTAACCCTCAGCGGAATACAGACAGGGACCATCACTTGAAGAAGAAAGTCTTTATTTTGGTAAAGGGCTTGTTACATTCAGTTATCCACTGGATTGCTCTGGTTGCAGTGGCTTTCATGAGATCTGCCAAAAGAGCTGCAAAATGGGATATGAACCTTCAGTAACAGCTTGTCAATCCCAAGAAAACCTGTACCTGTTTCTTGGGTGTGAGAACGCAGGCCGTCAGTCTTATCTTGTAGGGGTTGAATCCATCCATTTCCTATGAGACAGCCTAGGCCTGAGACCACCACTGCTTCAGGAAAACCCAGGCAACCAAAAAGGCCTGATAGATCCCATCACAGGCTCCTGTCTTTGTATGCATTATGACGGTCTTAATTAAATGATTTCACACTATATTTTCTACAGACCCCTATCTCATTCAGAGTACAGAATGGACAGTGCTTAGTGACTGTATTGTTACTCAATATTCTTTTTATCCTCCTCATTCAAAGTGTGGCTTCAGGTCTTATCTATTATACATCATCCAACCCATGGGCAGCGAGTCACATAGGCAGGGGGAGGCGTTGCCGCCCCAAACAACCAGGCATGACCCCACCCCCTGCTGTGACGCTGCAGCTCCAGTAGTCCTCCTGGCTCCCAATCCAGCCCCCCAGTACTCTGGGTCTGGGGCCGTGCCTTCCCACGCTCCGGAGCTGGGGAGGCTTGGCCACGTGCTGCCCTCCCTCCCACGCTCCAGGACTGGGGCTGCACGCTGCCCACCCTCCTGAGCTGTGGAGGATGGGGCCACGCACCGCTTGCCTTCCTGCTCCCCCGGGTTGAGAGGATGGGGCCGTGCGCTGTCCACTCTCCCAGCGCGCCTTTGGGGCTGGGGTGCTAGCTGTGGAAGTGGGCCAGCGGCTGTGGGGAGGAGGGGGGCGGCGGCTCTGATGGGAGGTGGGGCTGGACTCCAGCGGGGCCTTGGCCGGAAGGGGCAGGGTTGGGGTTTAGCCTCCTCCAGCCAGTGGTTCACGTGCCACCCATGATCCAACCCCTGTACTGAATGCAAAACTATTAATTTCCTGATGGGCATTTCCAAGGTGCATTCACTGTACTATCCAAGTATTTCACAGACATCAATGAATTTATTTTCAAAACCCTTATGCAGAGGAGGTGGCATTATTATCCCCATTTTATAAATTGGGAACAGAGGCATAGAGAAATTAAGGTAAAAAATGTCTACTAATTTGGGTGGGACACCTAGGGACTGATTTTTCAGACTACTTAGCATTTTTAATCATTGTGTGCATTCAAAATACAGCCCCAATCAAGGAGTACTCAGAAGTTCTGCAAATATTGCCCCTGTTGTTTGGGCACCCAGAAAATTCATTATACATCTTTCAACATCTAAAACAGATGAGGATGGGATTGTACAGACAACAGCTTCACGCGCTACACAACCCCGATTCATTCCCAGAATATACAGTATTCTGTGGACTGAACGAGACAGTGGAAAAAATAGTATGTGATCATGTAATTAAATACTGGATACCTCAAAAAACTCACAGTTAAACAGTAAGCGAATCTCAGTTTTAACTACAGTAGAACTCCTGCTCTACTTAAGGGGTCCAAATGAAGGCTGCACAGGCATCCTTAATTCTGACATTTCCTAACTTCTGATTCCTTGACTTTGCAACTTCAACATTTTTTCATGTATTTTTAAAAAATTTAATTATTACCACCACCACCACCACCACCACAAAGAAGGTCTAGTAGGGCAAACAGTTTTGATGACCGGTGGGGGGAGAAATCATGGTACAGGCATTTTTTGCGGGGGGAGGGTAAAGATTTCCTACTACTTTATAGATTTTATGAAAGGCAAGGATGACTTAATATAAAAGTTCCCTCTCCTGATAGCTTTTCTTCATCCTCAGAGGATCACTTTACAGACTGAATGACTGATTAGCTGCCTCACATGGGCAACCTGCGCTCAAGGATAAGCTCAGCTTCACACTCGCACC